TCACCCTCCATCTCAGCTCCAGGAAGAGGCTGAGCTTAGCTGCTGCATCCCACATGCCACATCCCTACTGTGTCAGGGTACCACGGAGCATCATCCCTGCCACATGCCCACGACTGGAGCTGGCAGCAGCCAGGACACAGAGATGCTCGCGCCATCAAGTATGGGCAGTGGGTCAGGCACCCGAAACTGAGCACCCCAGGGAACTCTGGAAGAAGCTGCTGCCTCTGCCATCCAGCTCCCAGTGGGATCAGTCGCCCCCGGGTTGCTTTTTAAATAGTACGCACTTTCCAGCCTGCTGGGTCCTGCGCCCCAGCCCGGCTGCAGAGGCGGCTGCCAGCAGGGAAAGCCGATGACTTTTGGGCTGGGTTTTATTTTCAGCATCCAAACACAGGATGCCAGGGGTTCAGAGGGGACAGCCAGGGTGCCGAAGACTCCCACTTGGGTATGTTACCCCTGCGTAGGCGACGTGCAGCTCCTGGCCCAGCCCTCCCTCCCCAGGCTGGGAGCAGGGAAGGAGTGAAGTCACCCCGACTTCAAGAAAAGGGAAGCTCAAAAGGGAAGCTGAAAGTGATGGTGCATGTCCCTTGTCCCCTCTCCAGGCAGGGAGTGCCACGGAGATGGATGAGCACCTGGCTCGCCTTGCTCTGAGACCCCCAGCAGGACGAGCCCCCTTCGGCCAGGGATCAGTGGTTCCTGCCTCTGGGTGCAAATCACAGGGGATCCCCCCAGTCCAAGTCCACCCCTGAGTCCTCTGCCAGCCCTCTCAGCAGGTCCCCCCCACTGCTGCCCTCAGCCATGGAGCTGCCCTTACGGGGGGCCCCAAGCAGGCAGCGGCAGGGCTGCGCCGGCATGGCCGCAGAGGGGGAAGAGAGATTACAGAGGAGTTTAAAAAAAAAAAAAAAAATTACACTAAAATTAACCAGGAAAAACAGAGCCCGTCATGCCAGCTGAGACATGGCAGCAGGGAGCAAATGCTTTCTGCCCATGCCACCGGCATAAATGCAGCCTAGGTGGTGGGCACACATCCACATGGACATCACTGTGGGTACAGCTCAGGGCACAGAGCCCCCCGAGGGGGGGCCGTATCGAGGCTATTAACAGACCCTACATTTATTACCACGACCACCCTACTCCATGGTTTCCGTGCTGTATGTGCTAAGGGAGAGGCTTTGCTCAGCCCAGAGGTGAGCATTTGGCATGGTGGGGGCTCTCCAGCCCTGCCAGCCCAGCCTCCACCGGCACCCTTGGGATGCTGACGCGGCACCCAGCACAGCCCGGCTGGTGTTTGTGGTCAGCGCTGGCAACTCCTGCCCAGAGCCGGGAGCAGAGCGGGGGAAGGACTCAGCGTATCCCTTCATTTTTTCCATTAAATACCTCTGGTTTCCAACAACGCCGCCCTGTACCGCTGGGCTCAGCAGCCAGAGCCGGCTGCATTCACCGTGCTCTTCTCCGGCGGGTGCCTGGACAGGGAAACTGAGGCACACAGCAAGAGAGGATGCTGTTTATAAGCATCCCTGGGATGAGGTGTCAGAGAGTCATGCCCTAGCCTCCTGCTCTGCCTGACACTTGCTCCCTGCTCAGGAGGGAACAACCGCCCTGGGACCTCTTGCCTGCTCCCGGCAAGGTGACAGTCACTGTCAAGGCAGCAGTCACCGAGGCCAGCCGTTTCCCCTCACAGCTCCTGGCTCCTTCTCCGCAGCCTGCAGCCGTGCCATTGTCCCCCTGTTTCAAGCTAGCACCTCCACTCGCTGGGAGCTCACCCAGCACAAGAGCCCACATGCTTGCAGTGAGCAGAAATTCAGGCCTGAATTAATAACACCGCCCAGCTGCCCTGACAGCGCTCAGAAGGAAGCTGGGGGGAGCAGCAATCAGTGTGTGCGTCCCCCCACCTTCAACTTCCCTTTCAAATCATCATCTTTGCCTAACGAAGGGACCTGGTAATTGCCGGGGAAGTTGCGTGTCTCCCCCTGCCATGCCACCCCCAGCATCTGCTGGGGCTCAATGGGCAGCCCAGCACCCCTCACTCAAATGAGCATGAGGGGACCCTTCCTGGCCCCCCCAGGCGAGCACGGCAGACCGGAAGGGTTTCCAATCCCCGGAAAACCCTGGCTGCCATCCATTCAGCCCCAAAACAATCCCTGGGCAGGGTGCCAGCTGCCGGCTTCCACCCTCTGCCCAAACCAGGCAGGAGGCAGGCAGTGCCAGAGGGGCTTTGCGCCCTTCAGACCCCTCGTGTCGGCAAGGTATTGCAGGGGGACAGAGAGAAGCCCCCTGCCATGGGCTGACCCCACGGCCAGGTTTCCTCCAGCCCTGCCCACTCCCTGCCCGCACTGCCTGCCTGCCGGGACTGTGCAGTGCTCGTTCCCAGAGCAGCGCCTCTTAAAAATAGGAGAGCTCTCTCTCAGGCTGATTTCCCCCTTTTTTTATTAAAAAATAATCTTCAAAAATTTAAAATAAGCAAGCAGCTGCCCGGCTCCAAAACGCCCCATTAATCCACCAGCAAAAAATTTATTTAGCCAACATGTATTTTGCAGCCTGCGATTTAAGATGCTTTCTGGCCAGCATATATTTAATGCAATACATGGAATATATTTCTGGCCAGCATATATTTAATGCTATATTTTTAAGGAGTTGGTCACAGGTTTCAGGGTCCATCTCACCCCACAGCGCCAAGAGGGGATTTTCCATCTTGTCACACAGCACCATCATTTTTTATGCCTTCAAATATCCAGGCAAGGATGGAAGCCATGCACAGCTGGAAAATTTTTCTTATTACAGAGGAGAAGCTGGAATTCAATCTGCCAGTAGGTCCAGAGCCATCCCCATCCCCAGCACCAAGAGCCCCATCCCCAGCCACTGTGCCGGCAAGTTTTCCTGGCCTGGCAAGCAGCAGCTATTATTTGAGCATGGATTTACAGATGGTTTTTGCTGCTGGACAAATCCCTTCCCTGCAGGACAGACAGACAGACAGCTGGACAGAGGGACAGCTGCGGAGCCCATCCCCCTCAGCACCTATGGGGTCCTCGCCACCAAACGGGACTTTCAAAGGTGTGCATTAAAAGAAGAGTTACCCTAAAGACTCAAAAAATAATAATAAAAAGAGATTCCCCTCGCCATTTTCCTTCCTACCCAAAATAGATGGAAAATTGCTGCAAAAATAATCGCGTTTTTTTAAAAGCCCACAGCGACACAGGGCGTTTTTCCCAGGGGCCATCCCATTCCAGGGCAGGGCTGGCAGCTTCCCAGGAGGAGCCCACACATCAGCAGATGGTGGGATGCCACAGCCCCAGGCAAGACCCCAAAAAATTGGGGGTCACCAGGAAGGAGGCACAGACCCCCCTGCCCAGGGCAGCTGATGGAGACGTGGCAAAAAATTCCAAAAAATAAATAAAATAGAAATAAATCGGCAGTGGGAAGGATGTTTGGAGCACACGAGGGAGGAGGGGCTGGGCTGGGGATGGTTTCCCGGGGGGAGCATGGCAAATGCACCCCCGGTGCTGACAAGGGCTGCCGGTATTCGCAAGCTGGACAAAACTATCCTTGTGCCAGGCTTTTTCCAGGAATCCCAGAACTTTGCTGCTCTCTGTCCCTGCCATAGCTGGAGCGATCCCTCTCCCCTGGCACCAGCTGCCCCAGTGCCACAGCTGGGGAAGCGCCCCTGCATGGTTCAGC